CAGCAGGGGTCCCATATTGCAATATGAATAAAGACCTTACTGAGTGAATGAGAATACCTCTCCTGGCTCTTCTATAAAATTCCACATCAGATGAATTGCCTTTCATCAGCATACTGTATCTGTGAGAGGCTTAGCTTTCCAGTACTCAGCTGTATAGACCAGACACATAGGAACTATATGGATATGGGGACATGTGTGACTCACAACTGTCAGGCATGCTTTTCATTCATCTTTAAGTAAATGTGATGAACAGAAAGAAGATTCTAAATCTCTTACAGTTCTTCTACACCTAGATATACTGTAGACTACAGATATTTGTTCTGTAAAAGACCTTCTATGAAAGGCAGAGCTGTATAGTGTTTATTTCTCTTACATTAATATTTGACATTGGAACATTACAAAATGGTAAGAGCAGAATTTTAGATTAGACACCTTTTTAAGTAGGTTTTGCAAAATACATCTCTGTATTTTGGCATGCTATACTTCATTTGCTAATTTGAGCAAAAGGAAAAGTGCCTCACAGGTGATGGATGAACGGATGATCAATCGCTAGTTTTTCATAACCACATAACTAAAAATATCCCTTTTAGACACCTGTGCAATGCAAATTGCTCATCCTGCTGTCTTAGATTTGTTGACATGATTTGTGTGACTTCTTGTGTTTTTCATTTTGCATATTGCCTAATGCAAGTCTTTTGGACAGGCTGATACTAACAAAAAAGGCAATCATATCTTTGATTTTTCATTGACCACAGATCAAACATCATTGCAGGTAATTTTGCTCTGGATAAGTTTAAGGCTGGATATGTTTTATCTTTAAATGTTAAAATAATACACACTACTGTATAAGTCATACTCTTTTAAACTTTTTTATCATCGAAGTTAAGGTGCTGGCACTGGTTACAAACACCTTTACAGTATATGTAAGGTAAAGTGAAAAAAAATTCTTGTGTAGCAATTTGGTATTCTTCTCTTTCCTAGTAATTGCCAGGTTTCAATGTGAATGGTAATTTTCAAATTCTGTCATTATTCCTAGTAAAATATCTTGTTACATTTGCATAGTATGTAATAGTTGCCTCATAGCATTCAATTGCAGTATTTGTAAAGCTGTACCACAATTTATTCAAGAGGTATGATTACACATAAAACTCCTACCCAAGTGTGCCCAAGCAAATTGTACTGTAATAGTTTCTAGTTACTTCAGCCCTTTCCTTAAGCAGGGATGATGAACAGACCAGACTATGTCTGACTTAAACAGTGAAATGTAACATTACATACAGTAAGGAAAGGAAACAGAATTAGCCATCAGAGTGGTTCTGTTTTTCCCCTCTAAATTATGTAATTGTGTAAAAACATAAATTACATTTTTTTTTACCAATGCCTGATATTATAATGGTACAATGTCCTGTTAATGTGATAACCAGATACATAAAAGTTGGGTTTAAGTGGTCCAATCAAGGTTTTATACATTTCATGTTTTTTAAATGATAGAAAAAGGCACATTATTTCATACAATGTTTATTTTTAGGGGAAATGTGCCTGCTCTCAGTTGAAGCTTGTGTCCAAGGATGTATAAAATATACATTATAATGTGTATAATATTCTTCATATGTACGTTTTATTCATTTTTGCACATTTTAATAAGAATAATTTTGTATCAGACCTGCTGAAAAAACTGTATACTGCATAAATACAAATTAAATGCTTTGCAAAAAAGCTGCTTTTCAGGTAGTTCCTTTTTATTTGTTCTTGAATCCCAAACACTACTTTTTCTTTTAATTCACCTGTTTGAAGTTTTTTTTTTTCTAGAGACTTAGAATCCATCTATGTAATTATCAGCAATGCCTTGTAAGCAGAAAGTCCCTCAATGGCTGGCTTTGAACCACTCAAGCAGTGTTCTGCTTCTAATTCCTGAACACTTAGCTTTTGTGTACTGCACAGCAACTGAATGTTAATGTACTTTGATGAGAATCAAACCAAAGCAAAATAGTTATATTCAACTTCAAATTAGTGTGTGTTGTATTTTTCTGTCTGTATCCTCTTAACTGGGCAGTTGTTGATGCAGTTCTAAAGCAGCATCTGTAGGAACACTCCAGCATTGTGTGGGTTTTCAGGACTTTGTGCTGCCACGTAATCATTAGCTTGTCTGAAATGTAGTCTGTTTTCTCAAAGTTAATTGGCCTCGGATGAACAACTACTGTAGCTACTTAATTATAAACTTAATAAACTGATTGAGACATTTAATAATCAGACACGTTTCATTCTCGCGACTGCTCTTTCATTTGTAATGAAATTATCTGAATATTTCAAGATTTATAAACTTAAGATTCTTCAGGAGAAGTGAATTCTCCACCGTTTAACTTGAGTCCTCTTTAAAGGGCTAAGAATTTAAAACTGGTCAAAAAATGTGAGGAGACTCTTCTTGTTCGTTTGATTTCTAGAAGTTAATTTATCCAAGGACTATGTCCACCCATTTCTTAAAAGCAGACAGGGTTTCAACTTCAAAAATATAGCTAGATAGTTTGCTCTTGAATCCATCAACACTTTGTGTAAAAGTATACTTTTCTCTGTGTGTAACTATTCTCAGTTTTCAGTGCCCATAGTCCACAAAGGTTGGACGAGACTTTTGACAAATACTGACTGACACACCCGTATTCCCATGTAAAACACATCAGTGATTTCAACCGAGACTTCAATTAAAATGAATCTTATAGCTACAACCCACTTTAGTATTATTGATCAACGTTCGGCTCTAAATATACTGTATAATCAAGAGGAGCATAATATTATACAGTAGGTGGCCCACCTGATTATAATGTAAATATATTAAGTATTCATCAATAAGTGTGCATTGGGACCCTAGAAGAGTAAACCTAATGTTGGAAAAAATGGTTATTTTCATGTAATTTATACAGGAATCTTTTACCTATATAATTTAGACAAGTAGGTCAATTGGCTTCTGGGAAAATTGGCCCTGGTGTAAGTGTGTGTGTGTGTCCCGTCCGCTGTGTACTGAGCATTGGGCCCGGTGCGTGTCAGGATAGGCTCCACTCTCCCTGTGTTGGATAAAGCAGTTAGAAGATGGATGAAGGGAAGAAGTTAACTAACAAAATAAAATTAATTCCTGTAACATGAAAATCAAACCATTACAATAAATAAAAATAGCTGCCTTCAGAATAATTTTCCTGCAACTTTCTTGTGAAAGGCCTGCTTTTATATATGATAAGGGTGGGTATTATACTGTATATGTAATGATTTTTGTCTAAATGTTTCAGAATGTTATAGAAGTTATTAGGCAACTGGCTGTCAGAAAAAGCAGTAACATATGACTTTCCCTATATGCTCACTGTATCCCGCTGCCTTCACTAGTCAGGAACAACATCTGTCCTTCGCTGTGGGCTTACTATGTTCTCAGTGTGAATTCTGTCTCCAGCATTCACAAGTAAGAGCTTTTCTGCAGAGTGGATGTTTTGCAAACAAGTATCCTGGTGTCCCTTTTGATATGATTTCTGTTTAAGAAAAAAACATTTCTTTCTACTAATTGCAGATGCTTTTAATCCTGTGTGATATCAAGTGCTACCTCCTTCATCTGGGTTAATAAAGCATGATGGGACAATGCGTTTATGTAGGCTTTCTGTTCATGTTTTTAAAACTGCTCTGATTCTTGACACGTTTCTCTATTGTTCTGTGGGCGTTGTAAAACTGCCGGGTATTTTTCACTTACTGTTCATTAGGTTCAGCTCCTGACGTTAGAAGCCTATTCTACTAATGCAAGTCAATTTGGCACTAAATTGTTCTACCTTCCCCCCTCCTCTCTCTCATTCTGCAGCATGGTCTATACACAGTAGATTGTGTATAAACCAGCTGATTACAGATACTGATCCCTTATGTCTGCATTTTTGTTGTTTTCTGCAAAGGAAACAATTTGTATATGTTGTAAGACTATGGTATCAACAAAATACACTTATCTGAAGTTAAAAGTTTGAATTCTAGCTGTTCAGAGTGTGCAATTTACCTGCAATTAAGTTATGTTAGTCATATGAAATTTATGTCATAACAAAATAAGTGTTGAAACAATATTTTAGGTAATATTGCAGAACTTTGATCTCCTTGTGGTTTTTAAAACCTTTTTTAGGATAAAATTTTAAATATTAACAGTGTGTTAAAAAGTTTACCAATGTCCTTGTACAGTACATTTTCAATGAGCTAACAAATGTTCCTCAGTAGAAGAGCTTAGGAGAGCTCAGACTAGAATTTATTATCAATAAAAAATTGCTTGAAATTCATGCTGCTCTTAAGCAAATTGGGAGGTTTAGGGTGTTTTCATTGTATTGACTTGTCTTCTTTATTTTACTGTTTAATTATTTTTGTTGGCTGTAATTACTGCTGAAAAAAACAAAGTCAGAGGGCCCACAAGAGCAATAAAAATAGACTGTACAGATCTATCAGTGCTGCACTTACCCATCACGTTTTAAATTATAAAGATTAAATACCACATTCACCTGTAGCCCTGGATCTAGAATTATTAGCATAATGTACAGTATCTACACCCACAGGAGGATGAGTAAATACCCAAGATCACACAAGATCACAGGCTAACGTTAATAGACATTTATTATGTATTCTGTTATTTGTTTTCTTTAATGAAAGCATCTGTTGTCATCCCTTGAATTTTATTTTATCAGGTTGTTCATTTACATTAGCTGCATTATTATTATTACCTATTTATGGAAGATGTTGACAGTGTCAAGAATATACAATATTTGCGAGGCTCATATTGTAGCAGTACATACAGTATGTGAGATAAAAATGCTTTTTTATTGTCAGCAGTTAAAGAACTTTAGATTAAGTTCTGTGGTTTTACTTATATAAAGTATTTGAATATGCCTTGATTAAGAAACCCAACAGTTTCCTTTCAGAACAGTATAGCCAGAATTTTAATTAGCTTTTTTTGTTCTGCCCTTTATATTTCTTAATTTTTTTATCTGTCTCATTTTCAGGCCAGTCCTGCACCAATAATTGTGAACACAGAGACATTGGACACTGTACCATATGTAAGTATGGCTTCTTCTTCCATTTTTTTTATTGTAGGATAACAATTGACAAGGAAGAGCTAAAGTGCAATATTGTGATAGCAGCTGTTAGAAAATACTTTGCCAAAAATGTACTTGTTTTATGTAATTTAAGATAATCTATTAAATGGGAAGATTTTCTTGTAAAAAAACAAATACCTTTCAAACACAGCTATTGGTGAACATTTGCCTTAATCAAGTTTGAAGTATTTAATGAACATTAATACGCTGTAATCTCGCAATCTAAATGTAGTTAATGTATGGTGAAGGTGGGTGATACACTCCAATACATTTTTAAATGAATCTTTCAGTGGCAAGAGAGAGGCAGTGTCCCATTGGACAGCAGTTAGTAAAATAATGTGGGGGAAATGTACTGTATTACACAGAGTTGTTCTTAACAGTTGTGGTAACATTTACTGTACAGTATATTACATAACTAAGACTTGTCCATTAACAAGACATGTCCTGTAACAAAACACTTTTGTAAAATAATTGTGTAGTTACAAAAGGCTTTAGAGGAAGAAGACAGAAGTGGGCAACAGCAATTGAAAACCTGGTCATGTGAACTGTTCAGTTGTCAGCAGATGACGTGATCAATCACCAAATGATACAGCACAGGAGAAAACAGTGGTGGACAACTAGAATGTACACTGCATATGGAAGAATTAGGATCCAGGAGGCTATGTACTGTAAGAAAAGCAGCACAGGACCTGAAATACAGGTGAAAACAGGACAATGGAGAAGGTGGTTTAAGCTGTAGGTTTATCTGATTACATTACATATCAAATTTAATCTGAGCACTGTGGTTAGGTTTTAAGGAGATGACAAAATGGACAATTTGACTTACTTAAGTTTCTCTTTATTTAAAAAAATTCTCAGGGTTTGTGCTATGCTGAAATGTTTGGTCTCGAAGGTTTGCAATGACATTTCTTCTGGTTAAATATGTAAATTTAGTTTAAAAAACATGCTATCAGTGTGATGCTAAAAGATTATGAAGAAACAGGGAGTGTGAAGAAAGTAATAAATCAATGACAAAGACACGCCACCGTGGCACCATTACAGATGATAACAAAACTGATGATACTGATAGTGCTTTTATGAGTTTTTTGTACTCATATTGCTAATTAGGAAGTGTTGTAAAAAAAGATCAGAAACTATAAAAGCAGCTTGGTGCTTGTATCGTCATAGTTTTATCTTTGATATCTTTTAGAACGCTATTATTTATTGAGAGATATTTTCAAGAGCAAAAAAAACTTCAGACTACTTCTTAGCTTTTAAGAACAGAAGAACTTAAAGAATGGTTAAAATTGAGAGAAGGCTTTTTGCCCATCTAGCCTCTTTGATAGTTAGTAGCTAATTGATCAGAGGATCTCAACCACCATTTCTTTAAAAAAAAGGGTATCAGCTTTAACAATATGGTTTGGTATTAAATATATAATATTTCCATTCTCCTTTTTTTGCAGCTAAATTTGGTATTTGTGTATTGCATTGGTCATTTACACTTGCTCAATGGATTCATCTTTAAAATCTCACATCACACAAGTAAATGCAGAGGTACTCTGATTTTGGAATGGATTTTTTTTTCCATTTAAAGAATTCCACCATTAAAAATGGCTTATAGTCTTAAATACAGTTCTTAATTTAAAATAGTTTTGAAGTGCATAGTAATTCACAGAAGCAAATGTTTTTTTTTTTGTTGGGGACAAATACATATGTCACCTAAAGGGTTTATTAAAAGACCTTGTGTAGCTAATGTGAATTGTACTGTAAGTTACTTAACATTTTAAAATAAATGTCAGTAAATATTATGGTTTCTTCCTGAATGACCTGCCAGGAGTCTTTAATGTTTTTATGTTTTTTTATTTAGTTCATTGCTTTCCTGTTTGGAAAATAATCTGAAAGATTGAACAGTTCAAAAGAGAAAAAATATAGCACCTACAACTCAGGATAATTAAATACCACTGTTGGGTCTTACAACCCTTATAAAATTGTGTAAATCTCTGGAAAATTAAATCCAGGAATGAAGTACTTTAGAAATCATTTGAAAATGGTTCCTTGGGCATCTTTGAACCTTAGACTGAAGGATAATTGATTTTTTGTCTTCTTTCACTGCTTTGGCTTTTCAATAATTTATAAACATATTTGTTGGCAGAGTTGAACAATTCTCTATAGATTTTAAGTCATCTGTCTCATGCAGTGTTTTTATCCTCTAATCAGGTACAGTATACCACATCAAATTTCCTTCTTTTCTCAGCATTTTGATTTAATAAGGAAATAAAGCTCATTTTAAATGACTTGTACAGTACCTACACATGCCCAGATAAACCCCACACCCTTCATTTGCTCATTTCTACTGAAAATTTGCATTTCTTCAAGTCTTAGACCTTTGAGATTTTGATAGTATTTAATGTACTGTACTTCAGATTCAGCTGACATGTGAGCAGTATTTTGTGCTCACATGTCTCTTCTATGGTGTTATGGTGTTAACCATTACCATGAAATAGCTCTAAACAGGGCTGCTTCAAAAGTACTCCATCTTTTTTGCATCTTGACAGGAGCAGAAAATATCTACTGTATAAAGCAATGGAGAAAGGGAATGCATACAATACAGTATGTACCCTTTAGCAATGCTGGATCTGGCTGATACATGTAATAGGGACTTTCAAGAAAAAAAAACAACATGTAGCAACTGAAATATGTTTAGGACTTTGCTCGCACCCGAAGAAGGATCAATAACTGAAATGCTTTTTTTTCTACTTTTCAGTATGCAATCAACCTGTACGTCTTAACAGTTGCTGTACATTATCTTTTCAAATGTGAAATTAAGACGTTTATTTGCTGCTACTGACAAAATGTACTGATGCAAAAGTACATCAATGTCTGTGGTAGACCTTTACAGGACACATGAACCACACTTCACAACATGCTAAACACAGATAACAATGCACGTAACTCAATTAAAAGCGAAATTCCTGTATCATGGATTTGTTCTGGGTACTTTATGGAATGGTTGCATGCTCATGAAAACTGCACCTAAAAAGTTCAAGAACGTTCACTGTATTTTTTATTCTTATTCTGTATTTATTTTTATTTTTATTGCACACACACATGCTCAACACATACTGTAACATCATGTCCTCATCACCATTCTCCCACACGGATGCCCATAAAGTAGGGCAGTAAAAAATAACTTAATGGGCTGCACTCTTTTTCAACAATCATGCAGTTCACAACAATCAAAAAGCAGTTTGCATGTGTTTAGTTACATTACGGCCTAAATAAAATGTAACATTCTCATGGGCCTTAAATCACACATGTACTTACTTATTACTTAGAAAAGGACATTGAATAGTACAGAGACTGCCAGCTCAAGATTAGGCTTGTCATTAAGCCAGCTGTGACAAGGATACCCCAAGCAATGACACGCAGATGGCCAAGCACTATCTGGATTGATGGGTTCAGCCTGCTGCACAATAGTGATACCTGAGACTTGTGGTGGTCTAACTGTAGTGTAATAAGAAAATAATACAAAACAGTCTGCAGAAGACTGGTTTCCTTAACTGACATTGATTAATATCATCATGTCTAATAGGACAGACTGTTTTGGTAATCCTAGGGATGTGAAAATTTGCAGTGTATTCTAGAAATATTGTGCAATATGTTAAAGGATCCATTGACAGAGTGATTCTGTATCTGGAAATAATAATAATAATAATAATTAGTAATAAAAATAAATAATGTGTTTTGAATTCCAATAATTTTATTCACAAATTTATTTACATATTTGTATAGGATAAAGGAAGTCCATACTAAAGCCACAGCTGTTCAATAGGCCAGAACTCATCTTGTTTTATATAATTATAACTTCTGTATTTGTATTGATACTGTACATTATTTTGGTATTTGTAAATTACAGTAGTAGTGCACTTTTTTCAGAGTGTTACTGTTATTTAAATTTACACTGGCATCATCTTTCAGCATTCATCCAAACTTGATATTTTTTTAATTTCATAGGTTTGTCTTTTTAAGTTTTCAGTTGGTTGCATTGATTTCACAGCTATAAAATATCTTGTCTTATATAAAATATCTTGGAGTATACAAAGGAAGGAGTTGCAGTTGAAATGGTAACAGGAGGAGAAGTAAATCTAGGATAACCAGCAGGATAAAACAAATAGGGCAAAAAGCTTTATTTAGAATAATTATGATACTACATGTACCATAAAGTTCTGGAGAAGAGACATCAATATCAAACTGCATAGACCTTCAGAATGTATTATAATTTAAAATTATTTTAATGAAATAGCAGAAAGAATGGGATAGAATAGAATACTATACTGTATAGACTTTTTCAAGACAAAACCTAAGAAGATTGGCATGTGCAGTATGATACTTACACAGTGGAGAATTAGCATGTAAATGTGAAGTCATACTGAAGGGAGTACATTTATAGTATGTCCTCTCAGTGAATTCAGTGAACACTTGTTATGTGCCTCAGTGCGTTAGACCATATTCTAAAAGGATCATAACTCAAAATAAGAGAACGCTCACGCCATGGGACTGCTGTGCTAAATTGGTACCTCTGCAAAGTGTTATAACAAAGATTGATGGTCTAGGGTCTGCATGTAAGCAGAACATAGGATTATAGCTTGTTATGTTCTTTTAGTCATTTCTGGGTTTTTTTTCCATGGATGTTGGACTCCTTTTGTCATGGATGTCGGAAGGGACGAACTGTGGAGAGGCAGGAGAGCGGAAAAAGACCCATACGCGTAGCGGCGGAACAGAGTATTAGCCTGGGCTCAGTAGTTCAGGAGTCGATTAGAAACCAATGCCCTCAGGCAGCAGACGTGGGGGGACCTGGATGCTAGGCGGGTCTCAGGACATCTGAACGTCAATGCAGAGCGAAGGTGAATGAGTGACCTGAAAAATATATAGCTCCAGAGAGAGAGAGACACCGGAAGGATAGCAAAGCACAGGAAACTAGG